GGGGGAGAAAGGGACAATAGACCATGTAATATGTAATTATATTTCATCTATTAAGAATGAGACATCAAGGTTCCTTTCTAGATAGGCAAATGTAGACTTGAAACTGAAGTTACCTTGCATTGAAGGATCTTTGTAATAATGCTTGATTTTAAAAACTGACTGACAATTAAATGTAATAAGTTATTTTCATGGTTTTTCCTCCTTAGAACTGTGATTAATAATGAAAATAAATAGTGCTGTTTGGGCTATAGGGAATCTTATTTATTCCCTATTAGAAAAACACTCCTAAAGTCCAGATCACCTAGGTAAAAGAAAACTTCCTGTGTTAATGGGAAGAAATACTAATTAGAGGAAATGATTGTGAAGTTGGAAGAATGAAAGAAATGGTGAAATGCACATATTATCTTCCCTTTGCTGAGTTCAAAGTATTTCTTTTTTACTTTATATTTCATTACAGAATAATTTTCTTTCATATCTAGTATATGATAGTGTTACAAGGTTTTAGCAAGATGGTAAGATGATGAAATTCTAAAATAATTTGCAAGTCTAAATATTTGCTGTGATATTTTACTTTTATGTGGTTTGAGTTATTTTGTGTCTGGTGTCAAAATAGATTTTGATATTGATGACTTTAAGGAAGTGATTATGTTTGTCAGTATGAAGATACTTGTGAAATTAGTATCCTCACTGAAAGCAAGAGAAAAGCACCACAGAAATCTCCTTTTGAAAAGACGTATAAAGATTTCAGACTTCCTTTCCTTCTCCTTCATAACTCCTCCACCTCATAAGGGAAACCATTCCATTTATGAATTATTTTATTTTTCACTAGAGCACATTTAACTCACACCTGGAATCTAATTTTTAATTTTTTTTATTGTGCTTTAATTGCAAATTTACAAAACAGATTTCTTTCACATTCAGTAGCTCATGCACATTTGATTTCAAGGCCCTGATTACAATCCCCAACCATAAAAAACTCTCCTCCCCTCTTCTCCCTTTGAATCTAATTTTTTTATAAAATAAAGTTTTAAATTAGTTTTTAGACTAGGAAAAACATGTATATGGTTCAAACATCAAGAAGTATGAAAAGGTAGAATGAAAAGTCTTCCTTCAACTCTGTTGCCATTCACTCTTAACAGGTAACCAGTGTTACATACATTGTCTTCTTTCAAAGGTTTTAAAACATGCCACTCCTCGGAAGGAAGGTTGGGCAATCCTACTTCCGTAGTGATACTGCCTCGGAAACCCAAGGAGGGGTCGCTATGAGTCGGGGCTGACTCGATGGCACATAACAACAACAACAACATATTCAAGCAAATACAAAATCTATTTCATAAAATTTTTTTTTGCTCTTTTAATACCAAATGATGGGATACTATATATACCAGTATTTTTTTTCTATCTTTTTATTAAGACCTTCTTATTTTTATAGCTGCATAGTATTCAGTTATATGAATGTATCACAGTTTATATAAAATCATTCTTGTTGATGGATATTTCAGTTGTTTTAATGAATGATGCTTAAACTATTAATCTTGTACCTATGTTTTTTCACCTATATGCGACTACATTTGTAGGATGAGTTCCAAAAATGGAATGGCTTGTGTAAAGAATATACACACACTCATGCACATACACACAGACACATATATCATTGATAGAGATTGTCAAATTGTCTCTGTAGAAGTGTGCTTGTCTCCTTTAGCCTTGCCAGTAAACAGTGCTACTAAATTTTTGGAGTTTTGCTGGTCTTCTAGGTTAAAAAATGGAATCTCGGTAGATTATACCCACCCACTCTCTTTTACTAGCAGAGGTATTTAATTCTTTTATTTATTTATTTTTCCCTCAATTTTTTATTTTGAAGATTTTCTAACTACAGAAAACTTGAAAGAATAGTACAGTGAACACTGAATTCTGAACATTTTGTTATGTTTGTGTACATACACTTGCACTTGCTCTCAGTTCCAATCTCAGTCTAGTTTTAATTTATATTTTTCTTAATTGGTCTAAAGTTGAGCATCTCTTCACATTTTTTAATACATTTTTAAAGTTGTGGTGAATGCATGGATAACAAGACATTTACCTTTCAACGATCTTTACATGTGCAGTTTAGTGACATTACCTCTTCATGTTTAAAACCCGTTAGTATTTTGATTTTTGAGAATTGTTCATATCCTTTGCCCATTTTTAAAAAAATTTTTTAAAATTTTTATTGTAATTTGGGTGAAAGTTTACAGAGCAAATTCATTTTCTATGAACCTTGGGACAACCTTACCCCTTGTCAGCTATACTATACACCTGGACATTCTTACAGCACATACAAATATGCATGTAGAAATATTGTCTACTAACTCTATATGTGGTTGTGGGCACACTACACCCTGCTTAGACATACCTAATCATTTAGCCTGTCTTCCCATCTATCCACCTGTAGATTAATGCTTGCCATCACTGACAATGCAGTACTGTACGTGCAAAGTATTTATCTTTGTTGTCTGTACCTCTGCCTAGCTTTTAACTGAGTATTTGCTCATATTGAACACTTTCTATATTAGGGAGATTAGCATTTTGTTATGAGTTGCAAAACATGCTTTTGTGGTTTGTAGTTCGACTTGACCTTATCTTTTGGTGCTTTAGCCATGTATAATTTTTAAAAATTTTTACATTGTCAACTATCTCAGTTTTTTTCTTTTATGACTCCTGAACTTTTTATCATATTTTGGAAATACTTACTCCACTTCAAGATTATGAAATAATTTATCTATGTCTTCTCTATGGTTTCACTTAAATCTGTGGGTCATTTGAAATGTATAATGAGTACGTTGTAAGGAATAGAGCTAATTTTATTTTTTCCAGGTGTTAACAGTTTTTCCATCATTTAACAATTTTATTTAATATTTTACTTTGGGTTTCCCCTTAAATCTCAGTGATTTGAGATATTGTTTTATCATATGTTAAAATCATGGGTCACTTTCTAGATTTCCTATTGTGTTCCATTTATCTGTTCATTCATATTCATTGTTTTAATTACCGATTAATTATTAATGATACTTGTATCATCTGGTAGAGGAGTTTAGTTGTCCCCTCATTGTTCTACTTTTTTGCTTTTGCTATTGGGAATAAGTTTTTAAGGAGTTCTTCTCTAGCTTGGGATAAGTTATTTTAGAAGTTTTTAGAATTTCTTTTGAACATGACTGCATGTTGGATTCAATATGTTAAATGTTAATTTTATAGAGAAACTGATCAAACAGAAAATATTAAACCTATTGTGAGAGGACGATTCCAGAGACCTAAACCCAATTTATCAAGAGCAGTTGGGAAGAAACCAGTTATTTCACAAGGTAAAACAGATTCAGAAAACAAGAGTTCACATCCAGAAACTTCAGTTGAAAAGGTATGGAGTAAAAGATTTCCTTGACATCAAAATTACAAAAATTTTCCCTAATGCTAGTCAATAAACTTTTTAGCTTGTAATTGCAAAGTATTGTTACTGATATAAAAGCAGAGATACAAGATATACACATTTATATTAGATTTATTATTTAGAAGCTAAGGTTTATTATTTCGGGCATCTTCACTGGTGATAGATCTGTCTTTTTACTTTTATAAAATTTTTATTGAAAATATATTTTTTAAGTCAACTGTACATGAAAGGGCATATTGAGAGCACAGACTATTACAATGAAATATGCAAAGACCTGGAATAATAAGACCAAAAGGGAAGAACATGTTTGGCATTTCTCAAACTGAAAGAACTGAAGAAAAAATTTAAGCCTCGAGCTGCAATATTGAAGGATTTGGTGGGCAAAATATTGAACAATACAGGAAGCATCAAAAGAAGATGGAAGGAATACACAGAATCACTGTATCCAAAAAAATAATTGGTCAGAGTTCAGCCATTCCAGGAGGCAGTATATGATCAAGAACCTATGGTATTGAAGGAGACGTCTAAGCTGCACTGTAGACACTGGTGAAAAACAAGGCTTCAGGAATTGATGGAATGCCAATTGAGAGTTTCAGCAAATGGATGCTATGCTAGAATTGCTCACTTGTCAATGCCAAGGCAGTTGGAAGACCGCTACCTGGCCAACCAACTGGAAGAGATCCATATATGTGCCCTTCCCAAAGATGATCCAATGGGATATGGAAATTATCGAACAACATCATTAATATCACATTCAAGGAAAATTATGGTGAAGGTAACTCAGAAACAGGTGCTGCAGTACATTGGCTGGGAACTGCCAGAAATTTTTGCTGGATTCTAAAGAGAATGGAACAAAGGATGTAATTGCTGATGTCAGATAGATCTTAGCTGAAAGCAGAGGATATCAGAAAGGTATTTACTTGTTTTATTGACTGTGTAAAGGCATTTGACTGTGTGGATCATAACAAATTATGGATATCTTTGTGAAGAATGATAATTCCAAAACACTTAATTGTACTCACAGGGAACCTGTACATATTGACCAAGAGACTGCCGTTCAAACAGAACAAGAGGTTTAAAATCTGAATGGGTGTATGTCGGGGTTCTATCCTTTCACCATAGTTATTCAGTCTGCATGCTGAGGAAATTATCTGAGAAGCTGGATTGTATGAAGAAGAACTCAGCATCAGGATTGGAGGAAGACTCAACAACAGCTTGGGATGTGCAGAGGACACAGCCTTGCTTGCGGAAAATGAAGATGACTTGAAGCACTTGCTGCTGATGATCAAGGACAACTACAGTCTTTCATATGGATTACACCTTAACATAAAACAAAAATTCTCACAATTGGACCAGTAGGCAACATCATGAAAAATGGAGAAAAGACTGAAGTTGTCAACAGTTTCATTTTACTTGAATCCATAATCAATACCCATGGAAGCAGCAGTCAATAGATCAAATGACTATTTTATTGGATAAATCTGCTGCAAAAGACTTACTAAAAAGAAAGATGTCACTTTGAGGAGTATGGTATTTTCAGTTGCCTCATATACATGTGAAAGCTGGATGATGACTAAGGAAGAACAAAGAAGAATTACTGTACTGCATTTGAATGTGGTGTTAGCAAATGTTATTGAATATTGCATGGACTGCCAGAAGAACAAACAAATCTATCTTGGAAGACATGCAGCCTGGAAGACATGCAGCCAGAATGCTCCTTAGAAGAGACAGTGGGGAGACTTTGTCTTATGTACTTTAGATATATTATCAGGTTGGATCCGTCCCTGGGGAAGTATATCATGCTTGGTAAAGTAAAGGGTCAGTGAAAAAAGAGGAAATGAGATGGACTGACACAGTTGCTGCAACAGTGTGCTCAAATATAGCACTGGTTTTGAGAATGGCACAGGATTGGTCAGTGTTGGTCTGCTGTGCATACAGTCATTATGAGTCCAAACTGATTTGATGGAACCTAACAACAATAATACATAAGATTATATCCATAACATTTTCATCTAATATAGGCAGTCACATTTCTGTGTGGTTTTCTTTGTCATTCTATGTATGTAAATACTTCTGTTGTTTTTAATAATGTATAACATTTAAACCATTATTCTCTGACACTATTCATTTATAGTTTGTTGGGTCTGATCGATCTTTTAAATGGCTATTTTGTATTAAAGTATAATTAATCAGCCTTACCATTCTCTAATGTTGAACTTTTAGGCTGTTTCTTTTTTTAAAAAAACAGTTTTTAAATTAAAGTAAACAATTTTGTAAATAAGGCTTTCTTTAGAAAATAGGCAAAGGGTTAATTTCCAGAGGTTATGGGATTAATTGGTCAAAGAATATTTAAAATATTTCTGTAGCTGTTATATATTATCAAATTGATAGTCAAAAAGAATCTGTTCATATTGCTATATGCATTATTTGAATGGTGCTGTTTCCTTATACCCTTGCCATCATTATGTTGTTATAGATATTTTTAAATTTTTGCTAAAACACTTAAAAGTTGGTGTGCTTTTTTTCCTTTTATGTGAAATATTTTTTTATGATACTGTTTGTGGTATATTTATATTATTATAATCTTGTAAGATTTTTTTAATTTCCAGAAAATTTGAAAAATACAGATTATGTAAAAATTAAAACAAAAAGGGCTTGTAATTGCAGTATCCAGATATAGGCAACCTCTTACATGTATCCTTTTAACTTTTATAAAATCGAGTAGTAGCATTAATTCAGTTTTATGTCCTTCTTTGGCACATAACATCTTATACGTGTTTTTCTATGTTATTAAATGCCTTTTGAAAGTATGGTTTTTAGTGATTTCATAATATGCTATCATATGTATAGAACTAATTTATTTAGCCATTTACTTGTTATTTAATATTTTATTTGAATATATCATTTGCTATTTTACATAAGGTTCCACTAAAAACCCTAGGACATAAATGTTTGAATGTTCCTCTGTAATTAATTTTTTAGAATAGAGTATTTTTAAGTCTCGTCATTAAAACCACACAAAATGGATACCATTATTTTAATTTATTTGATTATTACAAAGTATGAATATTTATTTATAATAAATAGGTTAACTATAAAATTTGTATTCATAGCCTCACATGGAAAAGGATAAAATGAATAAAATGGACAGTTTGGGAATGGAGAATTCAGAGAAAGAGAACACAGAAGCTGAGACCATATCTAAGTAAGTATTCCAGAAAGTGTAATAATTTGTTTTCTACTTGACAGCATCTGAATTTTATGTTCGACTAGTATATCATAGTCCATTTGAACTGTGGGTGTTGTTGAAATATTAAAAATATGTCTCTGTGTTTGAAATTGCAGGATGTGGTATGAGTCCATTAAATTAGCAATTACATTTCTCTCTCACTTCATTTATAAGAATTTAACAGACTCTTGTTAAATAAATTAATGGTTAAGAGAGATGCTCCTGGAAGATGGCAGAATAGGCAGGCAAGCTACATAGACCCTCTTCAACAAAGATAAGAGAGACCAGTTGACACGCATACAGAAGATAATCCTGGAGCGCTGAACTTTGAAAGAAAGGATACAGAAGTGGATTAAACACCAACTAGTAGAAGAAACCTGAGTGAAAACAGTGAGCAAGGAGACAAACAGAGCTGCGGACTGTCAGGTATCCTGAGGGCATGGACAGCCTGAGAATTTCCAAGTGGTATTAAGACCTGAGAATTAACCTGTAAATTGGCCCTGCTCACCAAGGGCTGCATGGATGACTGCACTGGTGGCTGATGACTAAAAAGGGAAACAGCAAAGAAGGAGACAAACTGAGCTGTGAACTTTCGACTCTCTGGAGAGTGCAGCCATTTTGAATGTTTACAGGTGGTGGTGAGTTTGGATATTTAAAGTGACAGTATTCTCATTCAGATTCCAGGGGCCTAAGAATAGGCTCCGTGTGCCAAGGACAGCACGGACATATGAGAGGCTGATGACTGGAAAGGAGGCAGGTGGTGAGTGCATAAGTGCTACCAATTAGCAAACACAGGAGCATAGTACACTGCTTACTCAGAAAACATCCAAACAAAACAAATCTTTGGCAAATTACTCCAACAAACAATCACCAATTGAATATAAACACAAAAATGTCACAGTGTCTCAGAGACAGCAGACCATCACACGAAGAAGCAAGATAAAGCAATAGAAACAAGGGACCAGGATACAGACCCAGAACACATCCCTAAGGAAGAAGCAGCATTATAACTCCCTAGTAAAGAATTAAAAAAATTATATTTAGATACTTTTCATGGATTGAGACATAGATCAGGGGAAACACAAAATTGAGGAAAACACAGAGAAAACCCATTTGTGGTATATTCCTGTCTGAGCGGCACTAGGTAACCAGAATACTCACCAAACCAAAGACTAAGAAAGAATCCTGAAAACAGCATGGGAAAAGTTACCTACAAAGGGCAACTAATAAGACAAAGTTCAGATTTCTCAGCAGAAACTATGCATACGAGAAGGTGATGGGATGGTATATATAAAACCCTGAAAGAAAATAATTTCTAACCAATATTTATATACCCACCAAGATTGTCTCTCAAATATGATGGTGAAATTAGGAGATTTTCAGATGAGCAGAAATTAAGGGAATTTGTTAAAACCACACCAGCCTTACAAGAGATGCTAAAGAGAGTCCCTTGGGCAGAGAACCAAAATGGCAAACAACAGCTGACCATTAACATACTTGATGACATAACCCAGAAACCAACCCAGTTATGGAATGATCCAAAGTAAATAAGCCTACAGGAGTGTAAACAGGGAACCAGAGATCAATTGGCAAACGAGGACAACTACAAACCAAAAAGAGGGAAAAAATAGTGTTACAGAACTTCTAAATGGTGAGGAAGTCAAGACAATTGCAAGATAGAATTTACTGTTCTAAACTTGGGAAGAAAATTATAAATCACAGTGTAACCTCAAAGAAAAATGATAAACCTTCATATCCCCCCCCCCCAAAAAAAAGATAAGCACAAATATTTACCTAACACTAAACCAGTAGCAATGAAAGAAGTGTTAACATGATTCATAAACAAAACAAGCTCAGGACAGAAAATTATATGGAAAAAATAAATTAACAACACCATGAAAAAGCACATAACAAAATGACAGCAACAAATTCATACTTGTTGATACTTACACTGGTTGTCAATGGATTAAATGCACCATTCAAGACACGGAGAGTTGCACACAGGACAAGAAAACATAACCCATCAATATGCCATCTAGAAGAGACACACCTTAGAGAGAAAGATAAAAATAGACTAAAAATCAAAGGTTGGAAAAAGGTACATCAAGCAAATGGCAACCATAAAAGAGCAGGAATGGCAGTATTAATTTCTGATAAAATTGACTTTTAAGACAAAAATCACCGTAAGAGACAAGGAAGGACATTGTATAATGATGAAAGGTTCGATTGAACAAGAGGACAGAACCATAATAAATACCTTTGTACCCAATGATGTTGTTGTTAGGTACTGTTGAGTCATCTCTGACTCATAGCGACCCTATGCACAGCAGAACGAAACACTGCCCGGTCCTGAGCCAGCTCCATGGTTCTTGCTATACTTGGGCCCATCGCTGGTGCCACAGTGTCAGTCTATCTCATGAGGACCTTCCCCTATTTTGTCGACCTTCCACCTTACCAAGCATGACATCCTTTTCCAGGGCATGGTCCCTTCTGACAACATGACCAAAGTAGGTGAGACGAAGTGTGGCCATTCTCACCTCCAAAGAGCATTCTGGCTGCACTTCCTCCAGGACAGACCTGTTAGTTCTTTTGACAGTTCATGGTACTTTCAGCATTCTTCGCCAACATCACAGCTCAAAAACATCAGTTCTTCTTCGGTCTTCCTTATTCTTTGTCTAGCTATCACATGGGAGCTCTGGTAGCGTAGTGCCTAAAGCACTTGACTGCTATCCAGAAGGCTGGCGGTTCAA